CAAGGAGGAAGATGACATCAAAGAACCTGAAGACAGAGCACATTTACTTTTCTGATTCAAATTACTTTGTTTGGAAAAGAGTAAACACAATTACCTTAACAACTGAGCTGGGAGGCTTTGAGGGTTTAACACTGCATTGTTTTCCCAGGGAGAGGATGGGGACTGCTTAGGATCAGGGAGAGAGACCTAAAGAACCAGGTGGTTTTATTTGTTTTCACTTTCTTCTCTTTCCAGAAATGAGTTTGGGTAGTTATAGGGCATTTGATTGAGTTCCTTAAAAAATTAACTGTGTTTATTTTTCTTATTTAAAATGAAATTAATGTTTATTATTTTAAAAATTAGGACAAAAGATAAAACTTACAAAGTTCCATTACCAAATCTGGAGATTTTATATCCATTTTTAAATATATATATACACCCTCGCCACCCCCACAAATGATAGCATACCCTTCATTGTTTCATTGTTTACCTTTTTAACTTAACATATTCTGGAAGCCTTTTACTTTTAGTGTTTCTAGAGCTGCTTCCTTCTTTATATCTGTAACATAGTATTCTACGTGGATGTTTTCTAGTTTATTTTACCTGTCCTCTCCTGATGGATATTTAGGTAGTATCTAATCTTTTGCTAGCACCAAGAATGTGGTAATTAATATTCTTGTGTTTGTGGTGATTTTGCAATTGTGAGACTGTGCATGAAATGCAAATGATTAGAATTGAAATTGCTAGGTCAGACGATATGAGCATTTGTGATTGTGATTGAAATTGTTTTGCCATATTGCATTCCATAAAGATCATACCAATTTATACATCCACCACCCACATATGAGAGTGCCTGTTTCCTCACAGTGATCAAAATTCTCTTTGACAGTCCATAAGGTGAAAATATTGCATCAATGTATTTTAATGTGTCTGCTTTATACACGTAAGGATGAACATCTCTGCAAAAGTTCAAAGAGCTCTTCATATTTCCTTTCTTTTTTTTTTTTTTTTTTTTTTTTTGAGGTAGGAGTCATGCTGTGTTTCCCAGGCTGGAGTACAATCATAGCTCACTGCAACCTCAAACTCTGGGCCTCAAGTGATCCTCCTGTTTTAGCTTCCTGAGTATATATATATTTCATATTCTGCTGAACTGTATATTCATATCCTTTACTTATTTCTTTATTGGTTTGTTACTCTTATTGATTTGTTATTGCTCTTTATGTATTGATAATGTTAGTACCCTTTTTCTGGGATATGAATTGCATATTTACCAGTTTGCTGTTTGTACTTTTCTATGTTAAGTAAAGTAAAATATAAACAGCAAACTGGTAAATATGTTTGTAATATTACTTTGCGTAATAAAGTAAAATACAAAAACTTTTTATTTTTATTTAGAAAGTTTTTATTTGCATATAGTCAGATACTCATTTCTTATCTTTTCTGACTTTAGGTTTTTATGTTATAATTAAGGAAGCTTTTCCCACAAATTTTTAAAACATCTTTCTATATTTTTACCTACTTTGTATATGAATGCATGTTTAATACATCTGGCATTTGTTTTAGTGGAACATATAATATAAAAAAACCCATCTTTAGGGCCAAGTGCAGTGACTCACTCTTGTAATCTCTGCAATTTGGGAGGCCAAAATGGGTGGATCACTTGAGGTCAAGAGTTCGAGACCAGCCTGGCCAACATGTCTCTACTAAAAATACAAAAATTAGCCAGACATGGTGGCGGGTGCTTGTAATCCCAACTATTTAGAAGGCTGAGGCAGGAGAGTCACTTAAACCTGGGAGGTGGAGCTTGTAGTGAGCCAAGATCATGCCATTGCACTCTAGCCCAGGTGACAGAGTGAGACTCTGTCTCAAAACAAAACACCAAAAAACCAGGTTAGTAATATTTCCATATCACCACCCATTTGCCTCGATACTATTTCTGGACATTCTGTTTTATTCCCTTGATCCGTTTTTCTAGTTAGACACCAATCTCACTTTGTTTTAAACATTTTACTTTTATTATATATTTTAGTTTGCTCCCTTTAATACTGCTCCTTTTCTGAATTTTCATGGCTGTCCTTGCTTGTTTATGAACATTAAAATCAGCTTGCTTAGTTCCCCTAAAAAATACTTTCAACCTTTCTGTTGGAAACATGTTATTAATACATTTACAGATTGATTTAGGAAAAAATTTACATTTAAGGATATTGATTCTTTTTCTAAGAACATGGTATCTTTTGCCATTTTTTTCAATTCTTTTTTGTGTCTGGCAGCAGATTCTTCTCATACCCATCCCCAGCAAAGGGAATCCCTGTTAATGACATGCTCACAAGAGCATGAGCTTCTTGGAGAGCTGTTCTGACAAAGCAAAATTTTGATCTAACTTGTGTGTTTCTCATCTTTGAGAATTTTGAGAATTATTTTTCAGTTCATTTAAATATACACAGGTAAGGCTTTTACACCTGTGTACCATATCAGTAACATAAAAAAGCATTACAAGATTATCCTGCATGGTTTTGCTCTATGGATTTAAGAGGCTAGCAAGGTGATTTTCTGGCCCCTAGGATTGTGCTCTTGCTCTCTCCTATATTTATATTTTACTTAATGTTTAAAACAGAATATTTTTATATTGGAATAACTTTAGATTTACAGAAAAGTTCTTAAGATTGTATAGGCTGGGCACTGTGGCTTATGCCTGTAATCCCAACACTAGGAAGCCAAGGCCAGGGAATCGTTTGAGCCCAGGAGCTCAAGACCAGCCTGGACAACATAGTGAGACATTGTCTCTACAAAAATTAAAAAATTAGTCAAATGTAGAAGTGCATTCTGGTAGTTCCAGCTACTAGGAGGCTGAAGCAGGAGGATTGCTTGAGCCAGGAAGATTGAGGCTGCAGTGAGCTATCATCATCACTGCACTACAGCCTGGGCAACAGAAGGAGACCCAATCTCAAAAAATAAAAAATATAGTACAGTATTCCTGTGTTCCCTCCACCCAGTTTGCCCTACTATTTATATTTTACATAACTATGGTGTATCTGTTAAAACTGAGACATTAATGTTGGTATGTTACTATTAACTAAACTCTAAACTTTTTTCAGATTTCATTAATTTTTCTCTTCATGTCATTTTTTTCTGTTCTAGTATCCAATCAGGATATCACATTGCTTTTAGAAGTATTTCTATTTGATTAGTCTGAAGAGGGAAGCAGCAGCTTTATACTTTGCAGTCTCTGGAGTTATCCACATAGGCCTTTATTCATAAGGCTGGAGGAAACCCTTTATGGCCACAGAATCAGATCATCTGATTACATGATACAGCCTTTCTGTCCTGCATATGCCTTCCTGTGTTTGCACTGTTCCATTAATTTAGCCTAAGTGTGCGTGCATGTGTGTGTGTGTGTGTGTATGACAATTCAGGCTGGGCGTGGTGGCTCACGCCTGTAATCCAAGCACTTTGGAGGCCAAGGCAGGCGGATCACCTGAGGTCGGGAGTTCAAGACCAGCCTGACCAACATGGTGAAACCCTGTCTTTATAAAAATAAATAAATAAATGTGTATATGACAAATCAACATTTTTAATGCCTTATAATATCCCTCATTCAAATACATGGATAAAGTTGACATGCATATTTTGATGAAACCATTACTTGTTTTCATACTCTCCACATTTGCCTGATCTACAAAGATCAATAGTATGATTTGGCTCAGTGGTTAAAAAAGAGCATGCAGTCTTAAATATCTGGTTGAAATCTTAGCTCATATACTTACCAGCTATATAATCTTGGGCAAATTACTTAATGTCTCTGAGCTTCACTTTTGTCTCCTGTAGAGTGGAATGATAATAGAAACTTCCAGAGATGATTTATGCAGAGTTCTTATACAGTAGCAATTCCTAATAAAATGCAGTGTTTATACTCTGGTATCATCTATTATTCTTATTGAATAAGGTTTATATCCAGCATATTATCCAGGCCTACTGCTTGGGAATTATCAGTGTGATTTTTATGCTGTGAAAGAACAGGTCTGGGAAGAAGTTTGGATAATATGGTCAAAACAGAGACCACACACTACTCCAGCTTCTCATTTTCCTGTGTGTTGCTCTTTTACTCCATACTGAATGCTTTCCCTGGAGTGCTGGTGGGAAGGATGAAATTGGCTCATATATATATGATTTATGAAGAATTCTTCTACAATAGAAATTCCTAATAAAACCTAGTGGGGTGCAGGAGTGTGGAGCAGGAAGAATCCCCTTCTCTCAGGTGGCCCTGAGTGTGGCCACAGCCTTTGAGTGTCTGCCCAGGTGGGCCTTGCCAAGAGGCTGGGTGGCCTGGTCTGGGCAGAATTCACAGGCCTGATTCTAGCAGAATCTCCTGCTGTCTGTTTTGTGGCTGCAGCGGTGGGGGCTCTTAGAGAGCTTCCACTAAGGGTAACTTTGGGTCCTTCTGTTTGCCACATCTAGATTCTGCTGCTAAAGGGAAATTTTCTAGTTCACCTGGGAGCAATTGGAAAATGGCACAGAATAGGAGAGGAGAGCAAAGGTGGGCTCCTTGGTTTGTTCCACAGACCATCCTGAGCTAGAGGGAGAGATTCCAGTTCTGGGTATTTCTGAGAGATTTATTGTCATTAACATTGTTTAGCCAATGTTATTATCTCTAAAACTTGACACATTTTGCAATATGGAAATAAGTGTTTCCTGGCTTTACATTTATAGGCCTTCCATCTCAGCTCATGTATTTCTTTACCTAGGGGTGATTCTAATGATTTCTTCTTTCCTTAATCTTGCTTTTCTCTATTATAGGTATGAAATCATACACTGTACATATATATACGTATATATGTACATACGTATATATGTGTATATACATATACACGTATACATATATGTACATACATATATATGTATACGTATATACGTATATACACATATATATGTATACGTATATACGTATATATACACATATATATGTATACGTATACATATGTGTGTGTGTGTGTGTATATATATATATGGAAAATTTTCAAGCTATAAAATTGTTTCAGGTGCTGAACAGAAACTTCTTTATGGGACAGACAGAGCCTTATGTTCCTGAGTTGCTCTCATCTCTAATGATGTTATTTTTAAAAAGGTTTGGAAATATCTCATAGATAACACACAGCCTCCTTCAAGCTTATCCAATAATAAAATAATCCCTAAACCCAGTGATAAATAATCTGCATGCCTACATCATTCTTGCAGATATAAACACTGTTTTGTTTCAGGATCAGGGACATGAGACTAGAAAAGGTTGATTTTTAGTATATTGTATTATTGTAGAATTTTTTTCTTTGCCATGGTATATTTAATATAGGATTCTGTTTTACATTTTTACCACTTCTCTTCACAGCTGGTGTATGGATTCTTACATCTTTGAATATGAATATAAATTATCATGACAGTATTATGGAAAAGAAATAAGTCTAATACATACATTTCTTGCACTTTTGCTTTCTTTTTCTTCTTCCAGGAAAACCAGTTTGGCTATTAAGGGAACCTGTCGACACAGAGCAGAGCAAGATAAGGCCAGGTTTCAGAGAGAATAGCTGTTTACCATCAAAGCAACTGGGTTCCACACAGACATGGTTTATTATACACAAAGACGATGGTAAGTGCTCCATGGTTTTTATGAATAATTTACTGTGCTTATATAAATGCACTAGAGCCTCTAGAATTCTTACTGATCATATTACTTTCCTATCTATTGTTAAAAAAATAGCTAACTCATCAAATGTAATTTAAAAAGTCAGTTTTCTGGATTCCCCCTCCCTGATGCTTCTGGTGTGTCAACACCTGTATATCAGAAAGGAATGATTTTTTTCCATGTGATAAATGCAATTTTGGTGATGCCATATAATGAAAATTTACTAGATTTTCATTTATCAAAGTGTCTTTCTCTTCTCAGTTTCAAAAAGCATGAATTTTACTTGGAGTGATATATTTCTTGGGTTAATTTATATTTTATAAATATGTGAAATTATTAATTCATTCTATCTGTAGCACGTGTGGACCCTGAAGCTTATGGCAGTGCCGTTATCTGTTGTAGGGATGCAAACATGCTCTTTGATGTGTTATTCTTGGGGACTTGGGCGGATAAAGATGGAATACTCATTTGGCCCAGTTCTCCAGATGGGCTGAAAATGCAGCAGTAGTTTATGTGCATTTCCACAGAGCAAGGTTGTAACTTTCTATTCTGTACCATGTTGTAGATAACAGGAAACTTCAGGAAGTAGCAGTCTCAGCTGATTTTGCTCCTGCCCCTCTAGGATGGGGCAGTGGGCATCATCAGTGCACAAATGTGCTTTCTAGCACATGCTTGCCTCAGTAAACTGCTTGCACATTCACTGTGTCGTGTGGATTATCCTACCCAGGAAAGATGTCTAAAGTAAATCATCGTCATCCTCATCCTCATATACAATACCAGCATATCCTAAATCCTGTTCTAAGTGCTTTATGTGTATTAACTACCTTGTTCTGGTTTTGTTTTGTTCTTTTTTTTGAGACTGGGTCTCACTCTGTTGCCCAGGCTGGAGTGCAGTGGTACAGTCACAGCTCAGTGTAGCCTCAAACTCCTGTGCTCAAGTGATACTACCACCTCAGCCTCCTGAGTGGCTGAGACCAGAAGTGCATGCCACCACACTGGCTGAGTTTTAAATTTATTGTAGAGATGGAGTCCCATTATGTTGTTCAGGCTAGTCTTGAACTCCTGGACTCAAGCTATTCTCCTGCCTTGGCCTCCCAAAGTGTTGAAATTACAAGCATGAACCACTGTGCCTGGCCTTAACTACCTTCTTTTTTCTTTAATTAATTTTTAGAGGCTTCTAGAAACATTCTTTTTTTAAAATTACTTTTTTGAGACCAGTCTCACTCTGTTGTCCAGTCTGTAGTGCAGTGGCATGGTCTTGGCTCACGGCAGTCTAAAACTCATGGGCTCAAGTGATCCTCCCACCTCAGTCTCCTGAGCAGCTGGAACCACAGGCGTATACCACCATGCCTAGCTAATTTTTGTATTTTTTGTAGAAACAGGGTCTCACTTTGTTACCCAGGCTGCTCTCCAAACCCTGGGCTCAAGTGATCCTTCTACCTTGGCCTCCCAAAATGCTGGGATTACAGGCATAAGGCCACCATGCTTGGGCTATTTAATTACCTTAATACTCACATCAAACCTGTAAAGTGGACTTTTTAAATAGACCTGATTAACCGATGAGGAAAGTGAGGCAGAGTGGTTACCCATATATCTTTCTTATTCTCTGATCCCACAACTGTGTTTATTAAGTGAATGCGAACTGATTCTTGGCATTGAGACATATTTTTGGTTTATCTTTTTGGGACTTTTTCTTCTTTAAAGTATTAATTTATTCTTTCAGTCAATAAATATGTTGAGGGACACCATGGGACAAGCACTATGGTAGGTGCTGAGGATATAGTCACAAACAAGACAGACATAATGGTGCCCCCACAAAGCGTATAGTCTCTCAGGAACACTGATGTTACACAGGTAGAACAGTAGACTGCAGTGGTGGTTGGGGAAATACTAGATGCTGTTGAGATAGCTAAGCAGGGGAATCTAATCCAGTCTTGGGGTCAGAGTCATTTCCCAGCAGGGGACTGAAAAGTAGCCAAGTGAAGAGAAAAGAGAAAATTGGCCTTTACAGAGGAAAGCCCAGGGGGAGGCAGGTAGGAGGACTGTGAGATAAAGAGAAGTTGTTGCCTGAGGAACTGAACACTCAGGTTAGATTTGGAGTGTGGAGCTGGGAGTGAGAGACAGTAGGAAACAGACACTGGAGAGGCCAGCAGCATGGAGGGTGGAGGGCTCAGTAGGCCACTGTGAGCGGGTACTTTACCTCCAAAGAGAAACCTTTAAAGGGATAATCAGGGAAGTGATGCCATCTAGTACACACCATCAAAAAGATCTCTCACCGCTCAGCGGAGAATGTTCCGAAATGGAGGCAAAACTGGGTGAGGAAAGGCATTAGTTGGGAGTTGGAGATATTTCTTTTATAACTCCACCTGTGGGGATGCAGACAAATTCTCTCCTCTGTCTGCAGACATTCAGCATGGTAAGGCACTAAGTGCCTATGTTGCACCAAAGACCTGTGAATAAGAACATGCAAGATTCGTGTAGCCAGGTTGGAACAATCCAGGGCCAAGCAGCCTGTGTGCTCAATTGAGGAGTGCTGAAGAGAATAGAGCTCCAAGTCAAGGCATTTGGATGTTTATCACTTCCTGGTTCATTCGGTCAACATATGTCAATTTAATAAACATGTCAGCACTCACATTTTTACCCAGGTAATAATTGGTGATGATGATAGTGACCACCTCTCAAGTGCTCATCAGGCACAACCTTGATTCTCATGGATTCTCTCATTTTTTTCTTCACCCCAGGCCTCTGAGGCTGTGGACTATTTATCCCCAGTGTCCAGTTCAGGAAGCTGAGGCAGAGAAAGCTTAAATTACTTGCCCAGGTCACATAACTAGTAAGTGGAAGGAGCCGAGATGGATACAGATGAATAAGGTAATGAAAGAGCAATATGTACCACCTCCTCTCATTTGCCTGGGATACCATGGGAGAATGCTATCTAATTGTGATCATTCAGCCAACAATGGGTGATCTTCACTGTCTTCATGTAGATTAAGCCCACTCAGTCCACCATCTGTGACTCTGACCCTAGAATGGAGAAGGGAAATGCAATCACTGACCTTTCTATGTTGTGGGGACCATGTTGCATTTAGTCAATTCTAACAAGTTTCTAATACTAAGATCATTTCTGCAAGGAAAACGAATATGTAAAAAGGCCACCTTGGTTAAGCATAGTGGCCGACACCTATAATCCCAGGACTTTGGGAGGCCAAGGCCAGAGGATCACTTGAGGCCAGGAGTTTGAGACCAGCCTGAACAGCAGAGTGAGACCTCATCTCTACTATATATATATATATATTTTTTTTTTTTTTTTGAGACCGAGTTTCACTCTTATTACCCAGGCTGGAGTATAATGGCACGATCTTGGCTCACCACAACCTCCGCCTCCTGGGTTCAAGCAATTCTCCTGCCTCAGCCTCCCGAGTAGCTGGGACTACAGGCATGCACCACCATGCCCAGCTAATTTTTGTATTTTTAGTAGAGACGGGGTTTCACCATGTTGACCAGGATGGTCTCAATCTCTTGACCTCATGATCCACCCACCTTGGCCTCCAAAAGTGCTGGATTACAGGCTTGAGCCACTGAGCCCAGCCCCTACAATATATATATTTTTAAATTTAGCTGGGCCAAGTGACACATGCCTATAGTACCAGCTACTGGGGACGCTGAGGTGGGAGGATCACTTGAGCCCAGGAATTTGAGGCTGCCGTGAGCTATGATTGTACCACTGCACTCCAGCCTGGGAACAGAATGAGATCCTGTCTTTTACAAAAAGGAAAAAAAAATGCCAGCTGGACACTGTGGCTCATGCCTGTTATCCCAGCACGTTGGGAGACGGAGGCAGGAAGATTGTTTGAGTCTAGGAGTTTGAGACCAGCCTGGGCAACATTGGGAGACCCTGCCTCTACAAAAAATAAAAAAATTTAGTGGAACGTGGTGGCTCACACCTGCAGTCCCAGTTACTTGGGAGGCTGAGGTGGGTAGATCGCTTGAGCCTGGGAGGTCAAGGCTGCAGTGAGCCATGATTGCACAACTGTACCCCAGCCTGGGCAATGTTTATAGTATGAAGTTGAAGCATATATATACCTACAAAAGGTGACAGTGTATTAAGAAGCAACCATGATTATATTATGATTTCTGTTTGCCTTAAGCACTTTTGCCTTTGTGGGCCTCTTTCTTCATCAAAGAAAAATGTAAAAATATGTCCTATAAATGTGTTCGATAAAGAATATAATCCAGGCTGTATTTGTTATTCTTATTTTGTTTTTTTAATTTTCATTTTAAAAGAAATTAAGCATTTTTGTGAACCTCTAGGCACTATGCTGATGGAGAAGAATGGTCCTGATTTCAAATAAAAGACACAGTGAGAAAAAAGTCCGAAGAGGAGATTTGATGTGAACTCTGGCTCTGTGGGATTCAAATTTAGCCAAAAAGATGATGCTAAGTGGTTAGTGTCCAGGGCGAAGTGGAGAAAGAATGGGCAGCTGGGTCGAGTCTCGAGTGCAGTGAGAAGGAAGTGGGGACAGGTGCATAGTGAGAGAGGCTGGAGATCCCTTTTTATCTGATGCCAGTTGTGTAGTGTGGGAGGAGATTTCTAAAAGACACTGTGCAGGGTGGGGCAGAGACCAACATGGGACATTGTGGGTAGGGAAGGGCCCCTGAGAAAGATGTGATCTTCCATGGGTCCTGAGACCCTGGCCAGGACTCTGAGATCCAGAGAGTAGAATAGGGGATCTTTGGGGTAATGGCAGGGACAGGGGCAAGACTACGCAAGGCAATCCAGAAAGGCACATTGAAGCAGGAGAGAGGTGGTGGGTACTATGACTTGGATCATTCCCCATTCATGGCAACTTAATTCTAGTGCTCCTTCTTGTGTTGCAGAGCCTATGGTTCATAGATAACCCTTACAGCTAGAGTTTTGGAGGTGAATTAGGTTGAACCAATCAGCTACATCTTGTGAGATGTGAATCCAGACCTAAGGCGGGAGAAACATAGCGTACAACACAATTTTGCTGAAGATAAAGTCATACTGCCTGAATCCAGTTCAAACTTTGGCTTGCATTGTATCCACTACTAAACCATCTCATAACTCAACCTAGAGTCAAAGAGGCAGGGCAGATTACTGCAAAGTTACATGGCAAAGGGCACTGATACACGGAGAGGTGAAGAACTAGGGCCATTAAGGCAATCCACTATAGGGAGTAGCATGATACCATTTCTATGTTACAAGGACCACTCCAGCAGCTGTGATGACAGCAAATTGCAGGGAAGCAAGGTTAGAAAGAGTGGGAGAACACACAGGAGGTTATGGCAAGAGTCCAAGTTAGAAATGAGTTTGGAGTAGCATAGTAGCAGTGAAGATGGTGAGAACAGGTCGAATTCTGGACGTATTTTGAAGATAGAGCTTACAGCACTTGCGGATGGCTGAGATCTGTGGTATGAGAGGTGGCAAGAAATGAAATGTAACATGGTTTTTGGCCTTAGCAAGTGGTTGTCACTTCTTCTGAGGCTCCAGTAGACCAATAAGTGACTGGATGCATGGGGAATACATGAATGTGTTCACTTTTGATAAATCATGGAGCTGTAAATACTGTGCATTATTTGCATGGCTTTCCGCAATATTATATATATTGGCTCTCACTGAAAAACCTAAGAAAAATTTGGTAGAAAGATGTTTAATAAATACTGAGAGTCAGGCTCACCACTTCCTTTAACTCATCCCCTTGACTCATAGACTCTTCTTTTCAACTGTCTGTTGAATTTACTCTTTCTTTCCATCTCCTCTGTTCATGTTTCAGTTCAGACCTCTTGCCTGGACAATTGCAGCACAACTAATTTGTCTCATTGACTCTGGTCCCCTGTCTATCCTTACACTATGGCAGGAACATCTCTATAAAATACAAATCTGATCACGGCTCTTTCCTGACAAAAGTTACTTCTTTTTTTTTTTTTTGAGACAGAATCTCGCACTGTCACTCGGGCTGGAGTGCAGTGGCGCCATCTCAGTTCACTGCAACCTTTGCCTCACAAGTTCAAGTGATTCTCCTGCCTCAGCCTCCCAAGTAGCTGAGATTACAGACGCCCACCACCATGCCTGGCTAATTGTTTTGTATTTTTAGTAGAGATGGGGTTTCACTATGTTGACCAGGCTGATCTCGAACTCCTGTCCTTGTGATCCACCGCCTTGGCCTCCCAAATTGTTGGGATTACAGGCAGGAGCCACCACGCCCAGTCTGTAATTATTTTTTAAGGCCAAGTTTATTTTCTATTTCTATTAAAGAAACCTGAATAAAGTGAGGGAATTAGCCATTAGATATGACCTATACAAAAAAGTAATAGAAGGAAAAAGCACCCCAAATCTCACCATATAAAAATCTCTCCTTTCAGTCTTTTTTAAATGCCATTTTCTTCTAACATAGTTTAAAACATACAATATAAATTCTTACTTTTTCATGTAATAACAATTATTTTTCTCTAGATATTTAAAAATGCTTTACGTATTTTTGTGAAAAACCTATTTCCATGTTGCTTCTCAGCACCTACGTTATTTGTTTTGTTTTACATGTGGTATTTGACCATCAATTTATTGGATGTAGTGCTTTTATTGATTTGTGTAAGCTTTTTATATATAAAAATAATCAATTTTTCAGTTTAAAAAATGTCATTTAGAGCTGTTCTAGGCTGCAAAAAGCAGAAAACTAGGTCATTATTTTTTCCATTGCTGTATAACAAATGATCACACATTTGATGGCTTAAACCAAACAAATATATCATCTTACGGTTCTGGAGGTCAGGGGGCCAAAATGGAAGTGTCGTCAAGGCTGTGCTTCCTTCTGGGGGCTCCAAAGGAGCATGTGTTTCCCTGCCTTGTCTAGTCTCTGGAGGCTGCCTGTATTCCCTGACTCATGATCCCTGCCTCTGTCTTCAAAGCCAGCAATGGCAAGCTGAGTCGTTTGCACGTATAATCATTCCCACCTATACTTTTGTTCACACCTCCTTCTCTAACTCTGATCTCTCTCCTGCCTCCCTCTTCCACTTATTTTTTTTTTAAGCCAGTGTCTCGCTTTATCACCCCGGCAGGAGTGCAGTGGCACAATCACAGCTCATTGCAGCCTCAGCCTTCTAGGCTCAAGCAGTCCTTCTGCCTCAGCTTTCAAGCAGCTAAAACAGGTGCATGTCACCACACTTGGCTAATTGTTTTAATTTTTTTTGTAGAGATGGGGTCTCACCATGCTGCGCAGGCTAGTCTAGAACTACTGGCCTCAAGTGATCCTCCCATCTCTGCCTCCCAAAGCACTGTGATTACGGGAATAAGCCTCTGAACCTGGTCCACTTTCATAGACATTTTAAAAATGACATTGAGCTTATCTGGATAATCCAGAATAATCTTCCTAGTTTAAAGTTAGATGAGTAGCAACCCTGATTCCATCTGCAACCTTAATTCCTCTTTGCCATGTAACATAACATAGCCACAAGTTCAAGGGATTAGAATGTAGATATCCTTGGGTGGGGAAGGGGTGGGGACATTAGTCTACCTTCCATACCAGGCATATAAACAAGTGGAAGTGTTATTGGTCTTATATAAAAAGAAGTTTAGGGGGAGTGGTGGAGAGGATCACAAAGAGAAAGATAAACAAAAAAGAAGGCTAGGGCTAGTGTAACAATTTAATGATGCCGTCAAGTATCCAGTCTCTTTCCATCTTTCTGCTATGCCATCCTTAGCTGATGAACCCTTGACTCTGTGCTTGTTGCCTCATGGTTGCCAGATGGTTGTTGGGTATCCAGGCATTTCATCCATGCTCCAGGAAAGAAGAAAAGTGGCCGTGTGAAGGCAAAGGGGTGAAAGATGGAAGGCCATGCCAGCTGAGTATATGTCCTAGGTCAGATTCTCTGGAAGCAGCCCCTCACCCATTCATGTGTTAGTGATTTACTAAGGAAGTGTTTCCAGGAGAAATCTGTAAATGGAATAAAGAAGATAGCATAGAGAAGAGAAAGCGGAGAAAGTGTGATTTTGGGTCAAGAACCAGCTTCAGCCTGGTTTCAGGAGGAACCTTGAGCATAAATTACACTAGAGTTTGTGTCAGCTTGAAGCAAAGTAGCTGACTGTACAGACTTCTCCTCCAGCTGATGCATGAGGAGTAGTGATGGTGGCGGTGGTAGAGATTGACCGCCCAGGCCCTTCAGACATCCGGGCAAAGAGGCTGTACCAGCCCAAAGTAGTGCTCTGAAGATAGTAACAGGTGCCTGTTGTTAGGGATAACTCAGAGAAATAAGGGAGTGAGCTCATGGGCAGGCAGAGAGTTGGAGGTAATCTGGGTGGAGCACCATGCCTTTGCTGCAGTTTGTGTCTTTTATTATATAAAGCTTCTCTAAATGCCCTATTTAGCAAGCTCCAATACAGTCCTTCCATCTAGACTTACCATATAGCCACCTCTAGCTGCAAAGGTGTCTAAAACGAGATTTCTACCAGGATACATTGCCGCTTTTACAAAACTGGGGGGCTGGCTGGGTGCTGTGGTTTATGCCTGTAATTCCAGCACTTTGGGAGACTAAGGCAGGTGGACCACTTGAGGTCATGAGTTCACGACCAGTCTGGCCAACATGGCAAAACCCTGTCCCTACTAAAAATGTAAAAATCAGCTGGGTGTGCTGGTGTGTACTTGTAATCTTAGCTACTTGGGAGGCTGAGACAGGAGACTCACTTAAATCTGGGAGGCAGAGGTTGAAGTGAGCCCAGATAGTGTTACTGCGCTCCAGCCTGGATGATAGAGTGAGAATCTGTCTCAAAAAAAAAAAAAAAAAAATTGGGGGTCTGTTAGTAAAGTAAAAAGGAGAGAACGAATCTAGGTAGGCAACCATCAGACTCTGTGAAAATTATTTTTCATTTAGTTTTAACTTTTGGTCATTTTAAAAACAATTAAAACTTTTACATAGTAGATATTTTATTTTGTAATTCCTTCTAATATTACAAAGTTACAATGCCGTTCTTAAACAGAGATCTAATAAATGCCAATCTATATTTTCTCTGTATTTTCTAGTTCATAAAAATACTCAACTCTATTCTATCTATAACTTATTTTGGTGAATAATGTCAAGTGATGCTACCAGTGATTTTTTTTCACTAATTCCTAACCCATTTTCCCAATATTATGTGCATATGTATATATATATACCCAAACATACATGCAAACACTGTATTCTATTTGCGGACTATATGTGCCACTCCAGTGGTCTGCTGATCCTTTTGTCATGTTTTAAAAAGTAATGGTTTTACAACATATTTTTATTGTGATAGGGGAAGCACCCATCCTCATTTATTTTATTTTACCTTTTTGTATTTTTTGAGACGGAGTCTCGTTCTGTTACCCAGGCAGGAGTGCAGTGACACCATCTCTGCTCACTGCAACCTCTGCCTCATGGGTTCAAGCAATTCTCCAGCCTCAGCCTCCTGAGTAGCTGGGATTACAGGTGCCCACCACCATGCCCGGCTAATTTTGTATTTTTGGTAGAGACAGGATTTCACCATGTTGGTCAGGCTGGTCTTGAATCCCTGACCTCAGGTGATCCACCTGCCTTGGTCTCCCAGATTGGTAGGATTATATGAGTAAGCCACAGTGCCTGGACTTTTTTCTTTCAAATTAGTATGGATTTCATCAAATGGCTTTCAACATTTATTGATCTGATCATATAATTTTTCTAACTGATCAATTTATATGCATATTATTACTTAGCTCTGTATTATATAACATTGAGCTTCAATTTTCTTCCCCCCAAAGAAGGTGTTTGATTAGGTGACTGTCAGGCTCCCGTCCATATCTAACATTTTATTATCCTAAGAATTGTCTGTCTCTGAAGAAGATTCCACATATTGACCATACTGAACTCAGTAATGGTTGCTTTCCGCATGAACCAATACGTGCCTGTAAGTAAGGTGTGAGGTGACAGCCCTTCTGGAAACTCAGTAGCCTCTAGTCTTCCTGCCAGTACACTTCACTTTTCCTGACAAGCCCAATAGCTTCATTCCTCAGGCTCCAAAGCTGTCATTTCTAAAGAAAAAATAGAGGGAAACAACAACTCAGACCATTAAATAATAATAGCAAAAATAATAAATTACTATGTTGTTGATCTATATTTAATCAATAAGTTAAACTAAGAACTGTACCTGGTACATATAAACATTACATAATTACTAGCTGTCATATCTTGTTGTTATTTTTAAATTGACTATTTCATAATAAATGTTGAGATGGGAGATCTGAATCTATTCATTCTTTAGCTGGTCTCAGTTCACTCTTCCTTCTTATAGAGTTAAAATCTTCTCATTCTAAGACTCTTCAAATTTTGTTCTAGTGTTAGTTTTGTTCTCATGTTTTTTGCACAATGTGGCCCCTAAATGCAAGTCAATTACTTCATCTGGTGCTTATCTGAAGAAATAGCTTTCCTTCAAATGCTAAAGAAAAGACTTGCTATGTTGGACCTAGTGAAAGGTGGTATGTCAGTTTTCAGTAGATCCTCATTATTTGCAGATTGTACCTCTGTGAACCCACCTACCTGCTCAGATTCATTTGTAACACCCAAATCAATATTTGCTGGACTTTCACACTCATTTACAGACCTGCAACAAATAGTGAAAAACTTTGATTTGTGCAGTGCATAAGTTTCCCAGCTGAGGCTGAACCAGGCTTTGCTGTCCTGTTTCATTTCTCATATTGCCAACTGTCCTTTCTGAGATCAATTTAATGCCATTTTTTTGCATTTTTGTGCTCTTGTTGATGGTTTTGCTGTTTAAGATGCCCTCCAAGCACAGTGCTGAAGTGCTGCTTAGTGTTCCTAAGCTCAAAAAGTCTTTGATGTGCCTTACAGAGAAAAAAAATGTGTGTTTGATAAGCTTTGTTCAGGCATGAGTTATAGTGCTGTTGGCTATAAGTTCAATGTTAATGAATCAACAATATATATTAAGGAATATTTCTTTAAATAGAAACACATATAAAACAAGGTTACATCCTGAATATGAAAGTTTTGACTAGAGGCTTGAAGGACCCTAACTTGGTATATTCTTTAGGAGCAAGGAATAAATTAGGAAAACAGCTCAGGTTCTCCTAATTTAGTGTTTGCAATAACTTTATAGAACATACCTACCACAAATAATGAGAATCAAGTGCCCTTTTCTAAAGAATATTCCAGGATTATTTGGGCTATTTGTGAATTTCAACCTTGAGTGTATTCATGATACTCCTCACTCCCCAAAGATGGGAGTCCTCTGTATCTTACTTGAGCATGAAACAAGAAGCATTTACTATGCCTTCCTCTTGAGGTCATTTAGACCTTGTTATTTAAATGTCTAGTGAGGGGGGTTCATTGTTTAATTTCACATTTTAGATTGTATATTCAGTTTCTTCATTAAAAAACAATGCTTTTTATTAAGGAGTACTGAATATAGTTTTTAGGGGGGAAAGTGCAATTGCACTCTGATTAATGATGTTATGGATTTCTCAGTGACTTCTTTTTTTTGAGATGGAGTCTCTCATTCTGTCACCCAGGCTGGAGTACAATGGCATGATCTTGGCTCACTGCAACCTTGGCCTCTCGGGTTCCAGCGATTCTTCTGTGTCAGCCTCTCGAATAGCTGGGATTACAGGTGTGTGCCACCATGCCCAGCAAATTTTTATATTTTTAGTAGAGACGGGATTTCACTATGTTGGCCAGGCTGGTCTTGAACTACCAATCTCAAGTGATTTGTCCGTGTTGGTCTCCCAAAGCGCTTGGATTACAAGCATAAGCCACTGCACTTGGTTAGGAAAGCATTTTCCTAATGATGAAAGTAGTTGCCATTAAGTTCTACCATGTTCCAAGCACTGTACTACACACTTTAGATACATTATTTTATTGTATCTTCACAACAACCCTGCAAAATAGTACTTACATTAATTTCACAAATGAGCATCTGCAGATCAGGGAGCTGGATTTAAATCCACATCTGTTAGACCTTAAAGTCCAGGTCTTTCTACTAAAGCATTTGCAATAGGCACTAAAAGTTCATGTTGATTGTTCTTCCTTTTGTATACTGCACAAAGCACATTAGGAGAACATGAATCAAGTTTACTCATCTGAATTGAATGTGTCACATCAGCGCCATCTTGACTCAAGGGATGGTCAACAATGTAATAAGCATGAGACAGAATCTACAAATTTGACTCATGGTTTGTTACTTTACCCAAGAAAGAGAACTGTACAGGAGAGAAAGAGAAATACACCTACCAAACCATCTATTTTTCTATTTTAATTAATAATTAAATAATTAATTGAATATTTAATTAATAATTAAATAGAAAAATAGATGGATAGAAGTATAATACACAAATATTTGTCTAATATCTCCATTTCATAACCTGAAAAAAAAATCACATAATTCCAGAAATAGCACCTTTAGCCCCAGCATGCACTGACAAGTCAACTGCACTTGCCATGTCAAACACATAAAACAGATTCTTTCTGCCAAAACTCTCAGGGTAATGGTAATTAAATAGATGTTTGGTTACTCCTATCCTATATTCTTCACTAAGTTGATTAACCTGTTTAATGAGTATATGAGAATGACCAAAGCTGACCTCACATCAAAGAGCCCCATTGTTGCTGTGTGCTGACCTGAATTTTAATGGTGCACTAGGTTCTTTAATTGCACCAGGGATGTGCTGGAGAATAGAGTAGGTATTTTAAGCTGCAGCGGGTTTCTTGTCCCAGATGTGTTCAGTTACTCATAACATGCAGTATCAGATGCTGGTTTGCACATCCAGGCTCTGAACACTCTCTATCTTTGCCAAGATTCGCAGTTTAACAGTTATCTTTGATGCAATTGGCAGTGGTGATTAGTTTAATTTATATGGTACAACTTACCTTCGTGTATTATTAAACATCACAAAGGAGTTGAGAAAATAAAAGAGTCTGTAAATGAGTCAACAGTAAATAAATTTGGATCCAGACAGTCTTTGGGTCTCCATTAAGGCCTCCCATCTTGGTCTTCAGCCTCCATGAGAATCCTTAGAGGGCGATGTGTTTTCATTATTGACCACTGTCACCAAGGATGAACTGTTGCTTCAATCTACAAGTACCACGTGGTAGATAAAAGGAAGCTTGTTCATAAGTGATAACATTGATTTGTTTAAAGAACCTGAAACTCAGTAACATTGACTGCAGTCTTCTCTCCAATTCCCCTTTAGTTTATTTTTGTAAGCAACTTGAAGAGGGTATTTTAGCTAACCATTTGTGAGAAGATGAAGATGTTCTGAACTCATTTTTCATAGCTGCATTTTTTGTTAAACATTGAAGGTCACATACTTCTTCTGCTTAAGCCTTAAAAAATAAGTGTCTTACCTATTTTTGCAACAAGTTTTTTTTTTGGTGGGAAGAGGTGCATATATAAATACAGATAAACTACTGCTGCAGGTGCAAGGCGAGCAATAAGAATAGGCACAGGCTCAAATGACTTCTGTCCTCCACTGTTTCTTATCATCTGTGACATCGGTGTTCCTTGCTGTGAAATGGCATCTACTCCAGGATGGTTAGCAGGGGTGTGAGCAGTGGACATTGGAGTGGGACTCAAAGGAATCATACGGGGTCAGTGGTGACCACAGGGTCTATGTGTCTCTGATTTGCCTAATCTCAGCAGTCTTGGATCCTCAAAGCTGTTTTCTTTGACTATTTTTCTTCTCCTGTTTGCATTGCTCACGTAGTTTCTTGTCCTTACACTAACTTGTACTATGACCTTAGGACATTCATTTAACTTCTTTGTGCCTCAGTCTCTTTATTCGTAAAATGAAAATTAGGACATTTTCTCCAAAGCTTGTTCCAGTAAATGCATTGTATGCTATTTTGTGGTAGTTTGTCAAAGTATTTTACTAAGATGGTTAAACTATTTTCTAAAATTTATTTTCTTCTTTTGAAGTATCTTTGGTATTTATTTCATGTACCTCCACAAGCATTTAAAGAACAAACCCAGTCTGTGGATTACGGACTGTTTTATGGATAAAGTAACTGGACTCCAGATAGTCTCAAAATGATATTGGAGTTTTCTCCCCCAGAATTGCGGTTAATTTTCTGAAGAGAAGTAGCTATGTTGTGCACGTTGGTCATTATCACAGTCAGAAACAGGCCACGTTAGGAAAATCAGGAAAGATGGGGCAGTAAAGGTGTTTGTGTCATTGGCAGAATCCCATTAGAGGTAATTCTGTCTCTAAATAGAAAGCACTATATGATTTTATTGTTCAGGGAAGATTGCTAGCGCATCAGCTGGGCCTCTCCTTCACACAATAAGTCAGCAGGTGGCTAAGGAATTTTTATTCCTTTGTGTGTCTGGCTAGCACTAATCTCATGTCTAAGTGGATAGTATTATGTGTTCACTGTGTTGACTGGAACGCCCCGCAGTGGGGCCTTCCGTAGATGTTGACAGCAGCAGCAGAGGTGCAGACACATTCTGAGGAGACAGTGTCTGCCTCACCTTTCTTAAGACCACTCAGCCAAGGAACCGAGGAACTGTCCTTAGGCAGATGGTGGCAGTGAGGGGGATGGGAGAGAGTGCTGAGGATGGAGGGGACAGAAAGGGAGGGAGAAGACTCTGGGTTCACTGAGGCCAGTGAGATACAGGCCATTCTTAGGAAGCAACTGTGCCATAAATTACCTGTCCCCTAAATTACTGTGAGTAATCTTTTTTCATCATCAAAATTTTCTTTTGCTGGCTTTTTACAATTTTTCAGGCATCTATGTCTGCATTCCTTCTGGTTCGTATTTTGATTCCAACCTAACTAACTAGAAGCAGGGAGGCAGCATCAGGGTTCTGGATGTCTGGCTGCTGGTCCGAGTTTCCTTGTGTCAGGTGCAGAGTGAACAGCAGTCTTCCCAGGACCATGCCCCTCTGCAGCAGCCCTCCCCAGGAGGGCTCAGGAAGCCCCAAGGGACGTACAGTAAAGGATGTGGAGGTTTTGATCTTAACCCAGATCTTAAGTTTCTGCTCTTAACCCAGAAAGCTGGTTGAAGACAAGTGTCTATGCCTAAGCAAAGAGGAGGGAGATAGAGAATGTGACTTAAGTCAGCAGGAATGCAGGAAGATGCACCATTAGACTCCACAAAACACTAGTTTTGGAATCAAACTTAGATTTCATACAGCTGCAGTGCTTATTATTATACGGCAATAATTGTAGGTTCGAGGAACAAATAAATATTTTACCGAAATTATGTTTGATTGTTTTCTTCCATTTGGAAAAGATGGGTTAGGCGTGGCTGAGTTGTGAGGCCTCTCAGGCAGCAGGCTTTACAATTAGTTCCTTACCTCTGGAGAGTACAGCCTTGGTTCCAGTCACACTTATTGGTGGTGAACTCAACCAAGTTTCTGGATCTCTTTGAGCCTCAAGCTCCTCACCTGCAACCTGGACCTAATGACATTAGCTGTAGGAAATGGCCACTTTGAAGATGTAAGAAGAACCTTTATTAATATGTGATAAAATACTATATATATTTCAATCTTTTGCCCCAGCCATAACAAATATGTAATGATTCTATTATGTACATATTTTCTGTATGTTTCATTCTGAGCTCCATTTTTGTCTCTATTTTTGTTTTCTTGTTTCTTTCCCCCTTCCAGTATATAAATCTGCTGAATATATATATGTTTATATTCAGCAGATTTATAAATATATATACATATATGTACATACATATACACATATAGTTTTTGGGAAAAGACAGAGTATGTATAAATAATTGAATAAGGTTCAACCATTTTGCTAGTGGAGCACTAGAATAATTAGAAAAATATGCTAATTCCAACCTTCATAACTTTACCACAACGCAACATGAGCCCTGCTAACTCATACCAACCTCAATCACTGAAATATGTTATGTCAGGCATCATCTGTGGTTCTTTACTTAATGTCACTTTCTTTTTCTTTCTTTCTTTGTTTTGAGACAGAGTCTCACTCTGTCACCCAGGCTGGAGTGCCTTGGCATGGTCTCGGTTGCCAGACTGCAACCTCTGCCTCCCGTGTTCAAGCGATTTTCCCACCTCAGCCTCCTGAGCAGCTGGGACTTCAGGCGCATGCCACCACACCAGGCTAATTTTTGTATTTTTAGTAGAGATGGGGTTTCACTATGTTGTCCAGGCTGGTCTCAAACTCCTGACCTCGTGATCCACCTGCCTTGGCCTCCCAAAGTGCCGGGATTACAGGTGTGAGCCGCGTTGCCTGGCCCTTATTATCACTTTCTGAAGGAAATGAAACTTGATCAGTGTTTATCTGACTGAAAAGATCAGCTGCGTTGGTCACCTTGTATAGCCCAGCATGGACAGATCTTAGCTTCAAGCCATGTATACTCCAGGGCCACCAGGTTGGTGCACTCTTTCTCTGATGCCATCACAGGCCGTCTTTCTGTGACAATATCTTTCAGTTCACACTGGAAATGCCAGGAAAGCCATTTATTTATTCCATAAACAGTTAATGACTTACCAGTTACCATGGCAGGCACTCTAGGTGATGTGAGAATAGATAAGAGATGGGCCTGCCCTCTGAGACTCTGTAGTCCAGTGGAGAGACAACTATGTAGGTAGCTAAGTAGTTCAATGGTAGAGTGCTTGTGTGCATGCTCCCTGGAGCTGGCCTGCTCTGCCACTTACCAGCTGAGTGACCTTCAGCACTAACATCTCCGTGCCTCAGTGTCCATATCTACAAAATGGGAATAATTATGGCACTTAACAAATAGGGTTGTGGTAAAGATTACTTGAATCAATACACATAAAACAGTGCCTGGCATCACAGCAAGCCCCAGATAGAGGAGGATGGTGGTGGTGGTGGTAGTGATACTGCTTCAGAGTACCAGCCTGACTAATGCATATCACTTTTATCAAGGAGGCTAAGGAGGGCACTGAAACACGATCTTGCTGAGCAGAGAGAGAGCGTGCCTTTCAGATGGAGGATTCAGCACACGGACTTAGCTAGAATGGAGAGAAAGATGTTCTGAGAACTTTTTAGTTAGGTAGGAACTGTTCTCAGCTCCTGAATTCTGAACTTGGTGACAAAGTAGAAGCAAGCATGATGTTTTTATCTCAAGAACATTTTGTTTGTTACCAGGAGAGAATATAAAGTAGCTGGAAAAATATGGTTTTTAAATAATTGAGTTTGTTCAACAGACATAATCCATACTGACAGTGCAGAGAGGTTGATAACAAAAAGCACTTACCTAGTTAACTCCAGGTTGGGGGAAAAACTTGTTAAAAAAGTAAGGATCTAGACAAATCTAAATGAATTATACAGGTTGGTACTGTGGTCTGAGTTTGGTAAATTATTTTTTTAGCCCTCTTTTCTTTTTTCAGCTTTTATTTTAGGTTCGGGGGTCCATGTGAAGGATTGTTACATAGGTAAAGTTATGTCACGGGGATTTGTTGTACAGATTATCTCATCACCCAGGAATTTAGCTCAGCACCAATCGTTACTTTTCTGCTTCTCTCCCTCCTCCCACCCTTTACCCTCAAGTAGGCCCTGGAGTCTGTTGTTTCCTTCTTTGTGCTCATAAGTTCTCATCATTTAGCTTCCACTTACAAGTGAGAACATGTGGTATTTGGTTTTCAGTTCTTGTGTTAGTTTGCAGCTCTATCCATGTTCCTGCAAAATAAATGATTTTGTTCTTTTTGGGGCTGCATAGTATTCCATGGTGTACATGTACCATATTTTCTTTATCCAGCCTATTGATGAGCATTTAGATTGATTCCAGGACTTTGCTATTATTAACAGCATTGCAATGAACAATTGTGTATATGTGTCTTTATGATAGAATGCTCTATATTCCTCTGGGTATATACCCAGTAATGAGATTGCTGGGTTGAATAACAGTTCTATTTTTAGCTCTTTGAGGAATCACCATACTGCTTTCCACATGGTTGAAATAATTGATAGTCCCACCAACAGTGTATAAGTGTTCCCTTTCTCCACAACCTTGTCAGCCTCTGTTATGTTGGCCAGGCTCAAACTCGTGACCTCAGGTGATCTGCCTACCCCAGCCTCCCAAAGTGCTGGGATTACAGGCCTGGCTCATTCTTGGATTTTTAGTAGAGATAGGTTTCACCATGTTGGCCAGGCTGATCTCAAAATCCTGACCTCAGGTGATCTGCCCACCTCAGCCTCTCAAAGTGCTGGGATTATAGGCTTGAGCCACTGCTCCTGGCCAATTTTTTTGAACATTTTAATGGCAGCCTTTCTGACTGGTATGAGATGCTGTCTCATAGTTTTGATTTATATTTCTCTAATGATCAGTAATATTGAGCTTTTTTCATATGCTTGTTGGCCACATGTATCTCTTCTTTTGAAAAGTGTCTGTTCATGTCCTCTGACCACTTTTTAATGGTGTTGTTTGTTTTTCCCTTGTAAATTTATTTAAGTTCCTCATAGATACTGGATATTAGACCTTTATCAGATGCATGGTTTGCAAATATTTTCTCCCATTCTGTAGGTTGTCTGTTTACTCTGTTGATAGTTTCTTTTGCTATGTAGAAGCTCTTAATTAGATCCCACCTTGTCAATTTTTGCTTTCATTGAAATTGTTTTTGGTGTCTTTGTCATGAAATCTTCCTGCATTCCTATGTCCAGTATGGTATTGCCTAGGTTTTCTTCCAGCGCTTTTAGAGTTTTGGGTTTTCCATTCAAGTCTTTAATCCATTGTGAGTTGATTTTTGTATATAATCGAAAGAAAAGGGGTTTAGCTTCAGTCTTCTGCATATGACTGACCAGTTGTCCCAGCACCATTTATTGAATAGGGAGTCCTCCTCCATTGCTTGTTTTGGTCAGCTTTGTTGAATATCAGGTGGCTGTAGGTGTGCAGCCTTATTTCTGGGCTCTCTATTTCTACTTATCTTAAGAAAAAAAGAAAAAAGAGGTACCAGAAAGGCTCACAACTCACAATCAAATGATATCAGTGTCAGGCACAAACCTCGATAAAATCTCTGGCATTTTAAATTCAGAGATAAAAATAGTTTCCAGAATACTATTTCTTTAAAAAATGAGAGACATGAAATGTTGTGAATCTCCAAAATGACAGACATTACTAAAACCAATGACAGGTAGCAAGAAAAAGCCCCATTTAACTTTAGCTTGTGTAAACAAGTGTATTTAACAGGTGTATGTAAACAAGTTTATTTGTCTATAATTCAGTGTATTCTCTTGGAAAACATTGAATTCCCAAACGGAATAATCAGTTTAAAATTAACGTGGTTTATTAACAATTAAAAATGATAACACAAGCTGAAGAAGATTGGAGGTGAAATGTTGAGTTTCCTTTGATAGGTAGAGTAATTACAAAGTGTGCTTTTGAAGTTCAAGAAGACAGCCTTAGGACACAACATTTTTAAAGTAAAAATTGGCTTTTGCACTCTGTTCAAGTGATTTATTTTGCACTAAGAAATGGGTGTGAGACATGATGTGATTTAAAATTTCATCCCTTGATGGAACTGCTTGAGGGCGACATGATTTTTTTTCTTTTTTCTTTTCTCAGCCTGCTCAGCCTATGAAGTTCCCTATCTAAAAGTTAATCTTCTGAAATTACTTAGGAATGTAAGGAAACCTAATCTTTTGGTGTGTAAACAAAAGGGACTAAGTATATCACTCCCCCTCTGACACTCAGCAGCCCAGAAGTGGTGAAGTAGCAGCTAGCAGGATATAGAGCTTACCCCGGCAAAGCAAATCCAGCCATTCTTGTTTTGTTTCCTGCTAATTAATTACCTTCAGAAAATTGCACCTTTCCCATCTTTCTGTCTGTCTAAGAAGGCTTGAAAGGTGTGGGGAATTGAAGAGGGGAGGTAGAATGTACTCAAAGAAGAAAGTTCAAAGGAACCGGGATTTAGTTAAAATAGGAGACTAGATTATCAAGGGAACAGGGAGAGCACTGAAGGAGAGAAGACAAATGCAGTCATGCATCACTTAACAATGGGGGATACATTCTGAGAAATGCATGGTTAGGCAATTTTGTCATTGTGTAAACATACAGTGTACTTACTTACACAATCCTAGATGGCATAGCCTACTACACACCTAGGCTCTGTGGGATAGCCTATTGCTCCTCGGCTACAAACCTGTACAGCAGGTTATGTACTGACTACTGTAGGCAATAGTAACACAATGGTAAGTATCTGTGTATCTAAACTTGTCTAAACGTAAAAAAGGCACAGTAAAAATACAATATTATAATCCTATGGGACCACCTTGGATATGTGACCTGTCTTGACCAAAATATCATGTGGTGCATGACTGTAGTACTTTAAAAAACTGGCTGCTTTTCCTTTATTTCTACAAATGGAAAGAAATGCATTTAACCAACTTTTAAAAGTTTTCAATAGTCTATTGATGTAAGGAAAAAAGATACTTGAAAAAATGTGTCTGTTATGATATGCTAGCAAATTCTTTAAACACTGGCTATGGGGGTGAAGGAAGGGAAGGCCTTGTTGTGCAGCATTTGTCAATTTCTGTGGTGTAAATACTCCCCATGTGGTGGATTCTACCACCATGAGTCACTGAGTGTGAATCTGGGAACACACCGCTGGGGTTTCCACCAGAGAGATACAGTAGATGTAAATGGCCCCAAGAACATAGACAATGGTAAAATGTAATTAAGAGCTGGGGGCAGGTGATAATTTTTGAGTACTTTTATCTTTGTTTTTAATATAGTTTAATTGTAAGTTTGTGTGATTTAATACTTAATAATGACTTTTTTTTTTAACAGCCTGCTCATAGCTTTCCTGAAAATTTAAGCTGGCTCTTAAGAACCCATACAAGCTGGTTCTAGCACACTGCTAAATACATATATGATGGCAAGTTATTGACTGTGGTAATCACCATCCCCCACCCAGGGGGAGGGAGAGAGTTGTAGTTTGTGGATAGGGACCTTCACCATTTACTCTGTATGCTTCTCTTTTGTTTATATTGCTAGTGTAATAAAAGTGAATAGAAAGTGATTTTCATAAAAGATTGATTGCTCTAATAGCCAATACTTCCTTCTCTCTTTTCAACTGAGCCCAAGCCCCTGAAGTAGCATGGATCAATGGAGAGAGTGTTGGACTAGGAACTAAAAGTTATCTTTTCTTCCTGGTTTGGCCTTTGAAAGACTGAAAACTCGAGAGCAAATTATTTAATTTCTCTAAGTGTTAGCATCTTTGTATGTCAAATGAAAATATATAAGGGTTTCATGCTGTTCTAATCTTTACTTTTCTAATGATTTCTTATATCATTCAATACATTTACCATCGCAAGAGATCACAGCAGTCACACAAAGTTTTTGTGTGAAGTCCCAGATTATCCCATTTATTTATTTATTTATTTATTTACTGAGACGGAGTTTTGCTCTTGTTACCCAGGCTGGAGTGCAATGGCGTGATCTCGGCTCACCGCAACCTCCGCCTCCTGGGTTCAGGCAATTCTCCTGCCTCAGCCTCCTGAGTAGCTGGGATTACAGGCGCACGCCACCGTGCCCAGTAATTTTTTTGTATTTTCAGTAGAGACAGGGTTTCACCATGTTGACCAGGATGGTCTCGATCTCTTGACCTCGTGATCCACCGCCTCGGCCTCCCAATGTGCTGGGATTACAGGCTGGGCCAGATTATCCCATTTATTACTCATTTTATTTCCTGAGTTTTTGAAGTGTTATGGACTTGAAATTCATGGTCAGTGTTGATAATTATAAAACTTGGGTGGGTTAGAAAAAATCGAGGTTTGGAAGTTGGCTAAAAAAAGATCCAGAAGATGTTGTCTGACTAGCTCTGTTCCCAGCAGGGTGCACTGATTTACAGACTCATGGATAGTATATGTGATGAGGGGCCTGGGCCCTGGGCCTTCTGAGAGCCCTCCCATGCCACCTACGTTTGTATTCTTCTAGAATGCATTGGCTTAAGTAGCTGCACTGATTCTAGTCTCTGACCAGGCAAATAATTTCATTATTTTTATTTTTAAACTGTAAAATAGTAGATGTTTATTATAGAAAATTTTGAAATACAGATGAGCAAAAAAGAGAACAGGAAGATCACTGATGTTAAAGTATAGAATTTTCCACTTGTTGTTGCTGTGTTTTGTATATACGTAAATGAACATATGGATGTTTTAAATGACATCATACTTCTTGAGAGTGGGGCACAGCATAGACTCAGAGTGTAGACTTTGGAGCCAAAACGTTCACGTTGGAATCCTGGCTCCATCCCTCACTAACTGTGTGACTTCAGACAGTTCACCATTCCACTTTGAGCCTTAGTAAAAAGAGGATGATAGAGTCTACCTTGTAAGATTATTGTGGCAATTCAGTGAGTTAATACACATGAAAACCTTATAGAACAGTGCTTTGGACACAATTCAATGAATGATAGCTATTTTTATTGTATTCCATTGTATATTGATACACTGTAGTTTACTAACATCTTACTTTTGAGCATTCAAGTGATTTATAATTTTTCATAGGTTTTTTAAATACATTCTCAGGATAAATTCTAGACTTGGAATCACTTAGTATTTGCATATTGAGGTTCTAGACATGGAATCATTTAGTGTTTACATATTAAGGTTCTAAATATATATTATGATAATTAAAGTCTTCCTTACACACAGCATCCACTAAGTGAACAAACACGTCCCATCTCTCCCTCTTATCAATGCTAGTAAAATGGTTGGGCTTTCACATTTTCTTATCAAAATGAGATTTCCACTTATTTCCATAATATATTCAAATCTATACTCTTTATCTTAAATGCAGAATAAATGCCTGAGATATTATTAAACTGTGAAAATTAATTAAATCTTAAGGCAAACACTTTTTTCTGGAAATTAATTCGCCAGGTTGTGGCTAGGCATATACATCCATGGTAAGCAATTCACCCCCAGCGTCACTACTGGGCAAAAGCAGTAAAAGAGACACAAACTGCAGCTCCTCCAAGGTGGAGGGCAAGAGGGCCTCCCACTTTCCCTCCTCATCCTTGTTGGACGTGCAGATTCTGATCCTTCCTCATGGCTCTGAGGCAGACCCTTTCCACAACCTTGGAAGAAGATGCTGTTGCCATCTCTGCTGGCTTCTGACTCCATTTGAGAGGTTTGTTCGCTCAAATCACGGCCAGCCTAACAGGGATACTGATGAGGGAATGCCACAATGGGCAATGTGTCAGCCAGGTTCTTCCACAGACCCAGAACCAGCAGGGGACTGGAGACTCTCCACAGGTGCCAAACCTGCTGTCCCCAAGTGGGATTTCTTCTTCTGCAGGGAAACCTGAGTTTTGTCCTTAAGGTCTTTCATGAACTGATTGAGGAGAACCTCACCATAACAACTAGATTAGTGTTAAAAAATTTTTTTCTTGGCTGGGCATGGTGGCTCACTCCTGTAATCCCAGCACTTTGGGAGGCTGAGGTGGGTGGATCATGAGGTCAAGAGTTTGAGGCCAGCCTGGCCAATGTGAAACCCCATCTCTACTAAAGATACAAAGAATTAGCTGGGCATGGTGGCCGGTGCCTGTAGTCTCAGCTACTCGGGAGGCTGAGACAGGAAAATTGCTTCAACTCAGGAAGCAGAGGTTGCAGTGAGCTGAGATTGTGCCAGTGCACTCTAGCCTGGGTGACAGGGCAAGACTGTCTCAAAAAAAAAATTTTTTTTTTTTTTAGAAACAAGGTCTCACTGTGTTGCTCAGGCTAGATTCAAATTCCTGAGCTCAAGTGATCCACCTGTTTTAGCTTGCTAAATAGCTGGGGCTACAGTATGGGCCAATATGCCAGCTTAGTGTTTAATTTATTTACCAGGTGCATTAGCCTGGCCAATTGACCCATATGACTGGCCATCACAGACAGTCACAAGAATAAGAAGTGTTCATGAAGGGTGGCCTGACTTCTGTTCCTACCAAGTCCCTAAGCCCCCCTTGAGTGCCATACCAGGCAATGTGCACAATTTCTGGGCTGATGGAGAACTGCCCTTAGCCAGCTCTTCTTCTGAGAGAAGATTGTGCTAAACTCTCTGCATATAAAGGCATAAGGGAGCTTGTTATTCCTGTTTTCATGCAGGGTGATCTGAAAATTACAGATCATCAGGGTCATGTCATAAATGATTTCAGAGGGAGGTCTGAAATATCCACTCTAAAGACTATGGTGGAGAGGGTCAGAGGATTAATCATGGTATAAGTCAGTGATTCCAAATATGATTCCAACATGAGTTCACGGGAACACTAGATCCATGGGATAGCAAATAATCGGTGCAAGGTGAAGATTCTGAGGTAAAAAAAATATTTAAGAAATTCTGCTTTAATATCAATGATAGACTGGATAAAGAAAATGTCATACATATACACTGTGGAATACTCTGTGGCCACAAAAAAGAATAAGATCATTTCCTTTACGGCATCATGGATGGAGCTGAAGGCCATGATCCTAAACAAACTAACACAGGAACAGAAAACCAAATATTGCATGTTCTCACTTATAAGTCAGAGCTAAAGCAAGAAACACATGGATACTAAGAGGAGAGCAACAGATACTGGAGCCTACTTGAGGGTGGAGGGTGGGAGGGTTGTTAGGATGAGGGAGAGGAGAAAAGTCTCTTTAATGAGTTAATGTACATGGGAACTCTTGGAAGGGTATTCTGGTATGCAGTGTTTAAAAGCTTACTTGATCACAAATCAATGTTTTGCTGAGCACTTTTTGAGTCTAGTGTCCCATAAAATACCTTAAGAAAAGATGTTATAACTTACAGTGCTAGCCACACAGAATAAAGGTGGGGCAGAATTTCTTCCATGTTATCCCACATATTGCCGTTTAGCACCACTAGATTCTATGCAAAAGTAAATTTGCTGAGAAATTCACTGCAAAGATGCCATTGAACACATGCATTTATTGCATGCCCATTTTGTGCCACTGCCAGGAATAAGGGCTGCATGATACCAACACATCCTAACTTCATGGAGCTTACGTATCACATGAGGAAGTGACCTCCTGACGACACCTTCATTCCAGATGGGGCCCAACAGACCTGACGTCAACCCTGCTGCACAAGTCTCCTGAAGGTTAAAGGATTGTAGAAATGAGACCATGTGTCCCAACAGCCTGTGCCTTGGCAGAAAGAAGAGGAGTGCTAAGAAAAATCACATCCATCTTGCCAGGGAACTGGAAGAAAGAGAATCTTGTCCTATGGGGTGGGCAGTTTGGCGGAAAGCAGTGCCTTAGAGTTTGATGGAAATAAAAGGTGGCTAGTCTCCCCTTCTTGCTGCCAATGTCTTCCCTTGACAGCCAGAGATGTCCTTGACTGAAAACCTTCAATGTGGGAAAATGCAAATAATTAAAAAGCCCATGTCTTTCACAGCCATATAAGTTAAAAAAGCCAACCAGGAATGCCCATACTTGAGGTTCTTATCTCTGGGTTCCTGGTCAGTCTCACTTTGACAAAGAGGAATTTTAATCAATGTGAGACATTCTTTTTGTGACTCTAAAACAGTAAAAATGCCTCATTAGCTGTTTTATGCAGGACTGCTGCTTCCTGGGTTTGCCACACACCATATCCTACTGGTTGAGCTCAGCTAGGCTAGCTGGAACATAGCCAGCTAGCTCCTCGTGGTGAGTTCATCTTTGGTTATCTAGAGGAAAGCTTCTATCTCAGGGAGGTGTTTATGAGCAAAACAGAAGTGGCTTTCCCAGAGGATCACTAGGGAGACAGGGAGACATGACATGCAATCCTTCCTTTTGTCCTACACATGACATCAATCAACAAACCTTTATTGAACATTACATTAAGGAGACATTAGGTAGATCAGATATCTTAACAGTAGAACTGTAATTCAAATTGGGAAATTATCAGTAAATGTATTTCCAAGTTGGAATTGGACATGGACCTGAAAACTGTTCTTTTTATGTTTATTCTAGTTTCCAGCCTGTCTTCTCAGCCCATAAGTCCTTCCATTTGCAGATTCGTTTTATCAAATTTTTATTATAACTCTGTTCTGATCAGGACAGCAAGCAGGTTCAGTACCCTTGTCTTACCAGGTAGTGGAGCATGACTTAATCTTGTTGCCACAGACTGTGTTTTGGGGATGAGTACCGACTGGCCCATTTAGTTGTAGCTTTCTCCTAATATTGTCCCCTGATTTTCATCCTATCCAATCTTAATGTTTAAATTTCCTTGACATTCCTTCTTTTAGATCCCTTTGGAGTCTGCAGAGGATACTGCATCACCTTGTAGGAGCTGGTACTAGTGTAAGTCAATTTCTTCAACCAAACTTGCGCTTAGTCCAAGCAAGATTAATCTAACTGATGAAGGAAATTGTCTCTAAAGGTCAGTTATGAACACATGCAAACTTGTGGATGGCAGTGGTTAATAACGCATGCTGGGGGACCTGTCCATATGAATTCAGATCCTAGGTCTGCCACTTACAAGCTGTACAGTCCTGGGAAAATCACTTTATCTCTCTTTTTCCTATCTATAAAATAGATATACAAGCTTGTAGAGTTGTTGGGAGGATTAAATGAATTGTAACACCATTAAAACAGTGTGTGTCACATAGTAAATGACCAATAAAGTTAGTAATTGTTGTTACTATTATTATTTTCCTGGTTGATCTAAGGGAACTCTCAATTCAGTGGGAGTAGAATCCATCTATTTGGGTTCTGGTGTCAGGTTGGGTAGAGGTGTGGGAAACGCTGATTTGGACTGTGAAACTCTTATTGGTAATTCACACTTGCAGAGAGTTCAGGTGTGGCCCTGGAAGTGTTCACCTCCCAAATCTACTAAAATAATTTGGCAATTAGAAGTCAAAATAGGTTCCATTATAAGTTTGAGTCAAGGCAAAAGTGGTCACCACTGCACATCAAACTCTACCAGTGGATCCATTAAGCAGGAACATGGGGCAGGAGACAGGCCGCCTCTCGCCTCGTTTGCCATTGGAGCACTGCCTGCTTGGGTATCCCTCTCCACCTTTGAACACTAAGCTTTGAAATGTTGCCTAAGACTCTAACACCTTCTCTTTAAGAAGACTTCTTAATTTGACTATTACCCCCAGGGAAATCTACTTGCCAAAAATTCCAACAGTAACTATGGGCTGAGATCCTGGGAGTAAATTAGTATTGGATTTCTGGGCAATTTGCCCTAAATGCTAATGTATAAATATGCACCTGGATAAGGACATTTTTCTTCTGAATCACAGATTCATGGCCTAATTAATTTTTACTATCAAGAAGAAAAGTGCTAGTTTTTTTTTTTTAAACTAACTAAGTACAATTGTCCCTCCATATTCATGGCGGATTGGTTCCAGGACCTCTGCAGATACCAAAATTTAAGGATGCTCACGTTCCTTATATAAAATGGCCTAGTACTTGCATATAACCTACACATATCCTTCTGTATATTTCAAATCACCTATAGATTTCTTATGATACCTAATACAATTTAAATGCTATGTAAATAGTTGTTATACTGTACTGTTTAAGGAATAATGGTAGGGAAAAAAAGGTCTGTACATGTTAAGTATAGATTCCACCCCCATCCCCTGCCGCCAATATTTTTGATCTGTGGTTGGTTGACTTCACAAAGGTGGAACTCATGAATGTGGAGGGCTGACTGTACATTGAATAGGTTCCACCTAGATAAGAATTTGAGGTGGGGACTCTGTGGCATTTACTTTTGCATCATTCACAGTTTTCAGCCTAATGCCTTGAACATGGGAGAGATCCTTTGTATTGCATACTACAAAGAGGATGTGTAGTGGGGTCAGAGAATCCTGGGTTCACATTTTAGCCCTACCACATATTTACTAGTGGTGGGCTCTTAAGTAAGTCAGTCTCAGAGTGCCTTCTCTGAGAACCAATTTCCCCTTCCAGAAGTTGGAGATCAGTAATAACATCTACCTTTCAAGTTTCTTGTGAGCCCTGAATAAAATAGTGTAGGAAAAGTACCTGACACATTCTTTGCCATTGTTGATTGTTGTGTGGTGGAATCTGGGGATCAGAGTTCTCTCCCAATTCCGCAGATCCTCGTGGGACTCTTGAGAAACTTTTTTTGCAGTGCTTACTCTTAGAGAATTAAAAAAAAATATTGCCCTAAGAAAATAACTTCCTAACTTTTTTTCTCATCGTGAAGATAAACCACATTTGCTTTTTAGCTATGCAGTTAAAAAAAAACTCCAGCTATTATGCCTTTGTAAATATTAATCACTTTTGTGAAATAATTAATTTTGTATCACAAATGTTAATGTTTCTTTTAAAAAAGTAAATGTTATTGTGTCTATTTAAGGCATAAAACATGATATTATGGATATATACAGATATCAAAATGGCTACTATAGTAAAGAAAATTAACGTATCCATCATCTCACATAATGACTTCCCCCTTTTTAATAGCAAAAACTGCTAAAGTCTAATTTAGCAAAAATCTCAAATACAATACAGCATTATTAAATTTGGTGTTCAGCTTGTACATTAGATGTCTAGACTTAATCCTAAATTTCTTCTACTTTGTATCCTTTGACCTGCATCACCCAGTGTTTTATTCTCTAGCTCTGTATATATGAGTTTTTTGTTTTAAGATTCCACATATAAGTTAGGTCAGGCATTATTTTTCTTTCTGTGTCTGACTTATTTCATTCAGCCTAAGGTACTCCAGGCTCATGTATGTTGTGGCAATTGTCACTGTGTTAGTCTGTTTTCACACTGCTATAAAGAACTATCAGAGACTGGGTACTTCATGAAGAAAAGAGATTTAATTGATTCACAGTTCTGCAGACTTAACAGGAAGAATGACTGGGAGGCCTCAGGAAACTTACAATCATGGCAGAAGGTGAAGGAGAAGCAAGAACCTTCTTCACATTATGGCAGGAGAGAGAGAGAGAGAGAGAGAGAGAGCGAAGGAGGAAGTGCCACACACTGTTTAAGCCATCAGGTTTGGAGAAAACTCACTCACTGAGCAGCAAAGGAGGAATCCACCCCCATGATTTAATCACCTCCCACCTGGCTCCTGCTTCAATTAGACATGGAATTTGGGCAGAGACACAAATTCAAACCACATCAGGCAATATCTCCTTTTTTTTTTCTTAAAGGCTGAATTATATATATATATAATATATATAATTATATATATATATATAGTTTCTTTATCCATTAGTCCATTGACAAACACTTCAATCGTTTCTGTATCTTGGGTATTGTGAATAATGCTGCAGTGAACATGGAATGCAGTTATCTTTATGAGGTAGTGATTTCATTTTCTTTGCATGTATACACGGAAGAGGGATTGCTAGGCTATATGGTAGTTTTTATAGTTTTATTTTTTTTCTTTCTTTCTTTCTTTTTTTCTGAGACAGTGTCTCACTCTGTTGCCAGGCTGGAGCTCAGTAATGCAACCTCTGACTCTTTGGTTCAAGTGATCCTCTGGCTTCAGCCTCCTGAGTAGCTGGGATTACAGGCACACAGCACCACACTCAGCTAATTTTTGTATTTTTAGTAGAGACAAGGGGTTTCACCAGGATGGTCTCGATGTCCTGACCTTGTGATCTGCCTGCCTTGGCCTCCCAAAGTTCTGGGATTACAGGCATGAATCACTGTGCCAGGCCTTCTTTTTTTTTTAAAGATGGAGTCTCACTCCATTGCCCAGGCTGGAATGCACTGGTGTGATCTCAGCTCACTGCAACCTCTGCCTTCCCAGTTCAGGCAATTTTCCTGCCTCAACCTCTCAAGGAGCTGGAATTACAGATGCCCACGACCACTACTGGCTAAATTTTGTATTTTTATTAGAGACACACCATGTTGGCCAAGCTGGTCTTGAATTCCTGACCTCAAGTGATCCACCAGCCTCAGCTTCCCAAAGTTTGGGAAGACATCACAACCAGCCCTAGTTTTAATTTTTAAAGAAACCTCCATACTGTTTTCCATAATGGCTGCACCAATCTACATTCCCATCAACAGTGTACAAGGGATCCTTTTCTCTTGTTATCACTTATAGTTTTATCACTTTTGCTTTTGATAATAGCCATCCTGAAGGGTGTGAGGTGCTCTCTCAGTGTGGTTTTGATTCACAATTCCCCTATAGTTACTGATGTTAACAAACTTTACATGTATCTGTCAATATGGTTTGGATTTGTGTCCTTGCCCAAATCTCATGTTGAATTGTAATCTCTAGTGTTGGAGGAGGGGCCTTGTGGGAAGTGATTGGCTGTGGGAGTGGAGTTCTCCCTTGCTGTTCTTGTGTTAGTAGTGAGTTCTCAAGAGATCTGGTTGTTTTAAAGTGTATAGTACCTTCTTCCTCTCCCTCTTCCTTTTGCTCTGGCCATGTAAGATGTGCTTTTTTTTCCTTCACCTTCTACCACGACTGTAAGTTTCCTGAGGCCTCCCCAGCCGTGCTTCCTGTAGAGCCTGCAGAACCATGAGCCAATTAAACCTCTTTCTTTATAAATCACCCAGGTCTTAGGCAGTTCTTTATAGCAGTGTGAGAATGAACCAATACACCTGTTGACCGTTTTCATGTCTTCTCTTTAGAAATGTCCATTCAAGTCCTTTGCCCATTTTTTAAATGGATTATTTGTTTTTCTGCTATGAAGTTGTGGAGTTTTTTTAAGTTTTGGGTATTAACCTCTTATTAGATATAGAGTTTGCAAATATTTTTTCAAATTCATAGTTTGTCTTTTTATTTTGTTCATTCTTTTGCTGTGTAATTAATGTTTCTTTTTAAGTAACCTTTGACTTTGTATCATTTGAAAACTCTTAGTCTAAGCTTCTCAGCAGAAAAACCAGATTGTTTACCAAGAAAGATAATTAGATTGAAATCTAACTTTACATCAGCAAATTGTATATGCTAAGAGATTATGGATTTTAAGGATGAAAGACCAGATGCCCTAGAATTTCACACATAGTCCAGCTATTGTCAAGATGTGAAAACACATGGAAAATATGCTCCTACGTACTATTTATTTAAAGAGTTATTCAAAGAAATACTCCAGCCAAATGAAAAGTAAATCGTAATAAAGAAATCAAGAAGGGAAATCCAGTATATATGATAGAATCACATTAAAATTTATAGTAGCTCACTAATGATGCAGTTATAAAGTTTAATGCAGATTGTAAGGATACAGGAAGGGACAAATGACAATAAAACAATCTGTAACTAAACTGTAGTTTACTTCAAAGAAGCCTAAGAGATGGGGAGAGGAGTTAAAATCTGCTGAAGATCAATTTTGATGGTTATGTGGAGCTTAGTTATAGATTCTGAA